AGAACACCATGTTTTATTGAGCTGAATAGCATCGTGGTCTGTAGAAATACAAATTAACTTACAAAAATTTCTTCTTATACAAAATGATGTCGGAAACCAAAATCTCTGGAAATTGCTTGGGTTTGTGCAATGTTTGTGGGAAATGTCTCACCAGGGAGTTGGTTCTCTGATATGTATTGCAAATCAGCCAATTTCTCCCTCTGCTTTTTGGTGTTAATTTAATTTTCTTTGCAGAATCATTGCAAAAGAACATCAGTTTGCTTTCCTGCAGTTTGATCAATAACTTCCCAGTCGCAGTGTAGGAGTGAAGAATTGCTGTTCTTGTGCTTGCAGCCACATGTGGCTGTGCTAGTGGCTGAGCTGGACTGGTAAACTGGTCTGGGTTTAAAAGATGCCTTTTCTTTTTTCAGCTGGATCAGTGTCTCTGCACAGTTCATCACACAGCTGTGAAAACTCTCTTACTTTTAGGAGACTTCATCTTTATTTTTATGAAAACTGCTACCTACAAAACTTAGACTTGTTATCTGAGTGCTTTAAAAAGTAGCTGGTTCCAAGATTTTGCAGGAGCTTGTTGTTCAGATAGCTTCACTTCAACCAAATCTGCCTTCTTTTTTTTTTTTTTTTTTTAAAAATAAAAAACTGCTTTTGCTGTCCAGCATTGGATATTTCTAATTTTTATTGGTAAGGTTCTGCAATGCTCAGGGGGACACAGTGCATGTTATGTTGTGTCTTCCCTGAGACTTGGGAAGAGAAATTAGATGGGACTGTGTGTTATAACTGGTGCCAGTTCTCTGAACTGACAGAGTCAGTTTTTTCCCCAGTGTTAGGGTTTTTTTCTCTTTCTCCTGAGTATTTATAGCATAAACAAGTTACCAGCTGTTTTCCACTAGACTTTTCAGTGGTAACAGGTAACCATAAGGACATCATCTTCAAACTCTTAGAAACTAAGTGTGGTATGATACAAATAATCTCCAGGGAATTAGGTCAGTCTGTATGCTTAAAATGTTTGTAGCAGTTGTTTGTATCAGTTATTACTTAGTTGACTGTAACTGTAATCTGATAAGCATTTTAGAAGCTCTTGACAGTTATAATGCAAAGTTATTTATTTTAGCCCTCCAGTGAACACTACTCACAGCAAATGTTCTGTAACAGCAACATGGCATCTGTACCTATGACAGGATTTTAGGCTGTTTATCTCATTTTGGAAGGAAATAGTTTTCAGAGCTGAAGATTAGCTTTTATGGACCACATTTCTTGAATGCTTTGGGAAACTCTTCAGCTACATATTAAAGGACAAAAGACTCTGGTTATCTCCAGAGAAGTCATGATGGTTTGTACAGTTTTGGGGCTTTAAGGTCCATTCTGTCTAGAGATGGATGTGCATTGCTCAGAAAACGGGAAAGGTTGTGTACATTTAAAATTAGTAAGTACAATCACTAGCATGATGCCAATTAACTTTGAATCTGCATTATTAGATAGTGGATTAGACTTAGAGGGTCTGTTTGGTTCAATATGACTTAAGATATATTTGGGATGATTAATTCTGCTTCTTCAGAACAAACTTGTAGAAAGGGATGAAAAGGAAAAGCTTATTGAAAGGTCTTTAGGCAGCAATTTGCTAATGGTTCTTTTTCATTTTGCTTCAGGCTGTTTCTGATGAGAGTGATGGACATTCCCTATCTCAATTTGGAAGGACCAGACTGTAAGTAGCTTCTGACATTGTGAACTTAGTAGCATTCTGACAAATATCCTGCAGGGGGAAGTGTAAAGGTTAATTATTGCCTATCTGAGGCATGAGACATCAGTTGTGTTTAGGTTATTAGCCACTTATGAAGAGATTTAAATGTGTTTTTTTTAGCAGAGTAATAAAACCAGAAATTCTTCAACTTTGACCAGAGAATCTGCATTATGTGAATGTGAAGCCTTGGAGGTCAGTCTAGTCCTTAAGTAGGTGAAAGCCTCACTTATACTGTGAAGTCAGATACACAAATGTCTTGGAAGTGATACCCATCTGGGAGTGTTACTGATGTGGAGACATTTTCCACTCTGTGCCCTGGAAAGCTCAGACTGGTGTGTGACCCTTCATTTGATGCCAGGTTAACAGTAACAGGATGCAGTTCCAGAAAGATAGAAGTAACTATTGGAGAGGAAAATATATGCTGAAGGGGCATAAATTTAGTTTTTAATTCAGTCAGGTGGTCAGATCACTGAGCTCTGGCTCTGTGGATGTGTTGCAAATGGTTATCTCATTACATTGCATCCTTCCTTCCCCAACTGTTTGCTACTGAGTGGAAGAATGGATAAATACTTTGGGTCATTGAGAGAATGCCAAAGCTACTAATTTGTGAAGATGCTACTTCCACTTGCTAGCCAACTTACAGGATTGTTTTGATACTTTGCCAAGAAGAGTTGCCAAAAATGAGTCTGCCTCTGCAAGTCTGTCTCTTTTATCTGAAAGCCACTCCTGTAGAACACACTGCTGTGGATGTTACAGGAGAATCTGAGCCAGGGAGGCTTTCTGGGCTTCAGAGCTGAAGGTACAGCTAGGGGAGGCATGTTGGGCTGGCTGTTTGAGGTCCTTTTTGTGCTATTCCAAGGTGAAAACACTGCTGTAGCTCGAGGAGGCTGTTTGGTTGTTGTCTGTGGGGACAGTTTTTGCAGAGGAGTAAAGCCACACAAAGAATAAGGCCATTATGGGGTAGCTGTTTTTAAAAGAGAGGTGAGGCACAAGTGACTGTTGTAAGTTTTGCTCTGTGTATCAGTTTATCCTGTAGTGTAATAGCAAGTTCGTGCAATTTTTCCAGAGATAATGGATTTCAAATAACACAGGTTAAATGGTATTGCATATATGAACTTCACTTTCATCTTCTTCTTGTGTTACTGTGTATTAGAAATCTCTTTTAAAAATGAAGTTGCTGCACAGAGTGACTGCAAAGCAGCACAAGAATCAAATGTTTCTGCCCTGAGCAGGTTGAAGTTCTAGAGGTTTTAACAGGAGTCACAGTGAATTTAAGAATAAACTCATACTGGAAGGCTGGGAATAGTTTCTTCTCTGTAATCAATAGAAAAAGGCTGTAATGACATCTGAAACTGAAGTACAGTTTTCTACTACTGGTTTACAAATACTGAAACCTTGAGCTGCTAGCTCAGCAGGCTGTTCATCTTCAGTCAGTCAAGACAATTTGTGGAGTTTTGGTGTTTGACTTGTTTAGTGCCAAAAAATTTGAATTCTAGTGCTTAAAATTTGTGTCCTTTTGGGTTTTTTGAGGTAGTGGATTTAGGGATCCAAGCTTCACCTGTGCTTATGAAGGGATTGTTTCCTTTAGATACTTGTGTCTCTGTCCAATCTGACAGAGCTCTCAGGTGCTCATGGAAACCTGTAATACATTAGCAGAGAGTTTCTGGGAAACTCAAGCTAACCCCACTTGTTTTGAGTGAAACAGATTAAAGCACTTAGCAATAACAAGTGGTTGATGGTCTGATTTTGGACACATTCTCTATGATTGATACACTCCTTGAAAAACTCTCCTGTTTTAATGCTGAAAGCTGAGGAGATCAGAAACTAGACAAGTTTGTCTTAGAAAAGAATTCAGGAAGATAATTCACTGAGATGAAAGTCAGTGCCTATGTCTCTATACCCAGAGCAGAGAGAAGCTTTTCATGAGAGTGTTACCAGGTGGTCAGGTTAAAATCTGATCATACCAGGCTGTGTGTAGTTAACCCTTGAGTTACCTTTAACAAACTGGAGCAGTAAATTGCCAAGGGGAGAGCTCAACTTCATTGCTTCAGCCTCTGACATCACATGTGAAATGACAAGGGAAAAACTATCAATATGTCATCAATAAAAAACCAAACCTCTATAGATACCTGTGGAGAGACTCAATTCATGATGTGCTTATGAAAATGTACAATATTTGAACACTTTGCACCTGAAAATACACATGTTCCTCTTGTTTCTTTTTAAAATATGGGAGGAATTCACAGGCTGTAAAAGCTCAGCTCTCTCCTGCAGATACATTGTGGTGATTTCTTACATACAAATGGTTTTTACTGGCAAGGGCAAAGGTCTGTCTTGGTGAAGAACCTCCCTCTGATGCTGACCCAAACCAGATGTGCAGGGGCAGTGTGTAAAAGTGAGAGCTACAGTGCTAATTGCTGCATATAATGCTGTTCCAATTTCTTATACAGATGAGCTTGTAGGATTTAGAATGTCTTTGATGCACATTGTCATTGATGCTGCTGTAGTTTCATAGATCTTGGCCTGTTTTCTTACTTAAAAAAAGCAAGGACCATACTGGATGATTTTTTTGGAAAACATTCTAGTAGTGACTCTTATTTTAACAAATGTGGTTTTTTTTGTTTTGTAGTGCAGCCAAAACGAGACCATGTTCTTCATGTTACTTTTCCCAAAGAGTGGAAGACTAGTGACCTTTACCAGCTTTTCAGTGCCTTTGGTGAGTGATACAGTCTGTTCTTCCTTATAGGTGGAGTTTTTTGTCGTTAGCAAGTACTTCTGGTTTGGTTTGTTATTTTTAATCTGTGAATGCAGAGTTACTCCTGGGGTAGGTAATGATGTGTAGGTAGTGGTTACATCTTTTGTAGTTTTTGAATGGTGTCCTGTGGGTTTTCTGTGTAACGATGTATTGAAAATGCCTGCCCTGATTAACTGCTCTTCAGAAATCTTTCTCTGTGGTGCTTGCTGAATACTGAGGATCTTTGATCCTTTTATTTACAGCCTTTCCTGGAGGAGGTAAGAGGATATAGGTGGCTGAGGGGAATGGGGATTGATGTGAAAGCAGATAGAGCCTTTAGGAATAAGGTTCATCCTGCAGTCTGCAGCAAGCCACACTCAGGCTGCTATGAGTCTGGCAAGCAAGCTTGAAAACAGCCAGTTTGATTTCAGGATTGTGAACACTATCCAGGTCAGAATACACGAAAAAAAGATGTTTAATAACTGGGAATGGTATCAAAGAATCAACCAGGTTGGAAGAGACCTCAAAGATCGAGTCCAATCCTACCGTGGTCACTAGACCATGGCACTAAGTGCCACATCCAGTCTCAGCTTGAAAACCTGCAGGGATAGTCCTGTTGTAGAAGTACAAAAGCACATGGAGACCCAAAGTAGTGGGCTGTGGTCTCCTGATGCTGAACTCCTGTGGCTTGGTGCTCTGTGCAGGGTATAAAATTCACTCAGTTCCTTCTGACCTTTCCATGTGCACTGCAGCATGAGGTCAGTGTAACAGGGAGGGGTTAATAGTCCTGGCTGGGAAAGGCAGAATGCAGGAATGGAGGGAGCTGCAGGGATTTTTCTGGAGGTGCTGTGTCAGGGTCAGGATTTGGGCTCTGTGTCTGTGGGTTTTGGGCTCAGCTCAGTTGTGTTCCCCCAGGTGTGACACGCTGGCGCCGCCAGGGGGCGCAGGGACACAGCCCCCAATGTTCCTTCCCTGGGAAATTCCTCTCCCTCCTCCAAATTCCAGAGCTGAATCTTTCCATCCTTGCATGGCCAAACTCCTGGCGTTTGGACCCTACTTAATCTACACTTTGGGTTAGGTCCTGTACCATGGTATCTCAAACCAAACTGCAGATTCTTCTTTCCCAAATTTATAGGATCATAGAATTTAGGGGTTGGAATGGATTTACAGATCATCCAGTCCCAATCCCTGCCCTGGGTAGGGACACCTCCTCACTAGATCAGGTTGCTCAAGGCTCATCCAGCCTGGCCTTAAGAATTGTAGGAGTGCCTGTGCTGTTCAGTTGTGGGCACACAGAGAGTGGTGCAGGGTGAGGTTGTGATTAGCCCAAAGCCAAAAAAAAGACAGTAACAAACATGAATTATCCCTATTTATTACATCAGTTAAAGAAAAGCTCTTGCCTAGATTAAAAATCAGTTGTTAAACTGAATAGCTGGTTTAATTGGACTTTATAGAAATTTTGAATTTGTTTTAGCCTGGAATGAATTGAAGCAGAGTTGTAATCTTCCACGAAGCTTCTAAAGGAAAGCAGTGAAACAGCTGAAGGGGCTGCAGTGTCAGACTTGGAACTGGTTGAGGTTTGCTACTCTAGAAGGGTGTTCAGGAGTCTGAAACCTTTGGGCACTGTGAGCACACCAAGGGACACCTGTTCATGCAAGATGTTTTTGCAGCCTCAGGGGTGAATGTGGTTTCACTGTACAAGTACTTGCAGTGCTGTACAGTCTCTGAGAGCACTTAACTTAAATTTGTGTGGTTTATTTGGTCGTGCTGATGTGAGATGTGAAGGTGCTAAAGAAAGATTTGCTGGAATACAGGTTTAGTGTGCAGCCTTCACTTCTGGAATGAACATCTCAGATAGACTTTTAATTAAAATTTAGTCTATCAAAGTACTGTAAAAACTGCTACTTAAAATTCTCCAGTGGAGTCAAATGTGACAATCTAGTCTAAGGAAAACTTCTAGCACACAATATATGTGTATGAAGTGTTCTGCACTCATGTCCATGTAGGCACCAGCTCTGAGTGTTGGAAGTGTTCTGCACTCATGTCCATGTAGACACCTGAGCTCTGAGTGTTGTTTTTTTGGTTTATTGGGTTTTTTTGATTGTGGTGTGGGTTGATTTTTTTAAAAAAATTTTGTTGTTGTTGTTGTTGGGTTTGGGGGATTTTTTTTTTAAATTTTGTTGTTGTTGTTGTTGGGTTTTCGGGGATTTTTTTTTTAATGGGGTTCTAAAGATTTTACTTCTGGTGTTTTGGGTTTTTTCCCTCTGTACATTTCTGGCCTTTCCTCCTTCTTCTCATGCCAATGTTTCCTTCAGCTGTTCTTGCTTTCTTTCTAGCCTGTCTTCCTGCCAGGAAGGTGGAAGCTCTGTTAACCCTTCTCAATTATTCTCCAGGAATAATTTGTCTTTCATATAGCTTCAACCCTTGTTCACAGAATAAAAGCCTCAGCTGTGTATGTCATCTGATGCAGTCAGTGTCCAGAAACTCTTAGCAATTCTGTCATGGTGTCAATGTGGTAAATTTTTTTTCTGTGATAAGAAAATGGAATATATTCATATACATTTGTGGTTAAATGAAGGTCCATATAGTCCTAATATCTGAGTGTCTAATTGCCAGTAACTGTCATGCAGGAAATGTATAAGAGTATAAAAAGAAAAATGTTTGAATGGCTTCGTCAATATCATTTTATTATGTGCATTTCAGTGTTGTTTGCAAGACTGAGTTTACGTAGAGTTTTCAAATTGATTTATAGAAAAAAATACATGTTACTTTGTACCTTAATCTCTGGGGCAAAAAATCAGATTTTCATCTATTCCTGTTTGAGCAAAGATGTTTTATTTCACTTGACAATCCTTTACCTGGCTTATCCTTTTTTAGCAGAGGACACTGACAGTGCATGTAGCAGCAAGCAGAAAGGGTCATACAGGCTAACAGTGCTGTTGTTCCTCAAAGTATTGGAGACATTTGATCTGTTCTAGAAGTGCAGGGAGAGAAGGTTCCTGGTTTGTTTCTCTAGGGCTGATACTCCATGACATTGCTGTGCATGACTCATGTGGATTAGCCTTGCACTGGGTTGGCATGTGGCTCTGTTGATTGCTAAACATTGTACTGCTAGAGCAGATTTTTTTATTCCCTTTTCACCATACTCTTGAAGTGCACACTATTTACTGAGTGCTTAGCAGTATTGCTGAATGATCTAATTTATTAGTCTTATCTCTCCTAAATTCTTATCTCTTAATAATAATGAAATGTGGCATAGTCTGAAAAGAACATCTCCTAAGCATGGAGAATCACATAAGAGCATTTGTTGTGATTCTCTTCAGGCTGCAACTCTGTCCACTCTTTTAATGTTTGACTTTGGCTTTAGATTATGTATTTGAAGTGTATAAATCTGAGTATAAAGGCAGCATATGTTGGCAGGCAGCAAAGCCCTTAATTAGCTAAAATTACCAAGTGGTGTAGAGTGCAGCAGCCTTTCTGCAGCAGTGAATAAGGACCTGATACTGAAATGAAGTGCCATCAGCAGGCTGGATTTTAATTAATCTATTATTAACTGGTACTTAGTGAAAATGTGGGCACTGAAGTCCTTTTGAGTAGTGTCTGACCTCCTCAGGTGGCTTTTATCTGTCACTGATCCTCTTTGCTATTTTACACCAAGGCCACAATTGCAAAATGTGGAGGAGAATTTTTCTTTCTGATCTGGGCTGCATCCATAGCAGTGTGGGCAGCAGGTCCAAAGAGGTGATTCTTCCCCTCTGCTCTGCTCTCCTGAGACCCACCTGGAACACTGCACACAGTTCTGGTGTCCTCAATGTAAGAAGGACATGGAACTGTTGGAGCAAGTCCAGAGGAGGCCACAAAGTTGCTAAGAGCACTGGAGCATCTCCCTGTGAGGACAGGCTGAGGGAGTTGGGGCTGTGAGTGCACATGGAGCAATGTTCAGATGGTGCAGTAATTTCTGTTGCAGTGTCAGGGTCCTACCACAGCCACTGCAGTTCTGAGCTGCACTCACAGAGCAGTTCCTGCTTCTGTGCTGTGAGATGTGTCCTGCCAAAGGATGTTCTCCTGCAGTAAAGACCCTTCCCCACAGGCAACAAAGATCTCTGTTGTTCAAAGACTGAATCATTAGAAATTGAATTTATTTGCCCTAAAAAGTGTTTAAAGGGATTGTAACATTGGAGTACTCAGTGTAGGCTCTGCTTAGTAGCAGCCTTAGCCTTTGAGTACAGAGAAACACCAGAAACCATACTGAATTAATTATGGGTTTGGCAATGAGCAAAATGATTATAGCTTAAACTCCTAAAGAGTTGGCTACTCAAATGTACAGCATGCAAATGAAACGTATCTAGGCTTTTATTTTTTTATAATTGGAAAATCTGTTTATAATCTGGCTGAGTTTCAGAAGAGACTTCTCTAACCTTGTAACCTGTAAGCTAAATTAGATTTAAATAGATTAAACAACTGAGGATAAATGTATTTTAAGCCTTTTTGCATCATTGTTTTTAACCTTGTAATGTCTGAGGGTTAATTGGTGGTGTAACATTATAGATAGCTTGATTTCCTAGTGTACCTGAAAAAAATGGCACCAGTTTTCCATATCTGAACTGTAGTAACAGTAGAGCACTTAAATCAGGACAGGAGGTGTAAACAGATTTCAGACTATAATAAGACCTGTGTCTGGAATGGGAATCCTTTCCACTGCTTTTCCTTGGTTATGAGCTCTCTTAGTGCTAATGTGGCATTTTAAGCCATTCACATAGAAAATGCACTAACTACTTGATGAATAGAGGAACTTACATCCAGTCACTGTCCATTGTAACAGCTTCCAAATGAGGTCCATAATCTTGTGCCTTTGTCCTCATATTGACTCCAAGTGTTCATTGCACCTCCAGGATGTGATGTGTAGTGGGACCCAAACAGAGTTTGACAATTTAGTGTTGCAATAACTGGAGTTCTCCATTCGTGTGTTCAGCCTGCCCTGCTCTGCTGGAATTTATCATCACCCAAAGAGCTGTTCTCTGTTTACTCATGGGTTGAAATCCCAGCAAAGAGCTTCAGGTTTTGTTGTGAAATTATATAGAACCCATGAAGGAAGAACATGAGGTCTGAGGGTGTACAGTATGCACATGCAGCACTGAATTCCTGAACAGTTCCAGGCCCATGTGCAGCTGTGTATACACCTCTCCAGGGGACAAAAGCCTTCTCAGGTACAGGTACTCAGAGTTGACTCTCTTCTTCTACATCATGGCACAGCAGATCAGATCTGTGACTGAGCCTAAGATAGTCCTAAAAATTTCTTTTTTGCCTTTTCTAGGTAACATTCAGGTTTCGTGGATTGATGATACATCAGCATTTGTATCCCTGAGCCAGCCAGAGCAAGTGCAGATAGGTAAGTGCTGCTGAATTTCCTTCAGCATTGAGACTTTAACTGGCTCCTGCAAAGTGCTCTGAGCCTGATTTATTTTCCCTTAGCAGCCAACACTGGCACTTAATTCTTTTTACCTAAGGCTTAGGTGCAGTTTCATAACATCTCTGTTCTGATTATGAGGAACTTCTACAACATTTTAAGACCACTGGTTCGATTTGAGAGTAATTTTAACTTGAGAATCTCCCTGAGAATGTTTTTCTTGCTGTTTTAAAATGCAAAAATACACTTAACCTGAAATTTTAAATACACGTGAAAAGCAACTGCTTGTCATAAATGGCAGGCATTGAAATGATGTTAAGCTGTTCCATGTGTTGGTGCCCTGATACATGAGCTCATACAGACTTCAGTGTGTGCAGGATATCTTCTTCCTCTGGGCACTGGGCAAACCAGTGCATTTAGTCAGCAGGGGAGCAATGGACTAAAGCAGGTGCAGCAGCTGAAGCTGTGACAGCCTTTCAGTGATTCTGTTTAAATCATTAATCTTCCTGAGCTTGGGGGTTTCTCAGACAGAGCTGCACTTTATGGTGTACTAGTGTTTTATAAGGTTTACTGTAGAACCTTCTGCTTAGCATCAGTGCTGACCACCACAGTGTAAAAATATCAGAAGGACTTTGTGTGTGTAGCAAATCTCACTGAACAGGGGGAAGTGGCAGGTGTTGAACCTGTACAGTATTACCCAAAGTCTTGGAAGAATTCTGTTTCACATGGCTGTTCTCACCAGTAAGTTAAGGTGAAACTGCTGCCAGATACATTGAGAAAGGAGACTCTGGCAAGGTGGGGTTAGTCTCTTCTCCTAAGGAACAAACAATAGGACAAGAGGCCTCCAGTTGTGCCAGGGAAGGTTCAGGTTGGATATTAGGGAAAATTTCTCCACTGAAGGGGTTGGCAGGCATTGGGACACTGCCTAAGGAAGCAGTGGAGTCACCATCTCTGGAAGTATTTAAAAGGAATGGAATGAGGTGGCTAAGGAGCAAGGCACAGGATTCTCCTGTTCAGTAATAAGGTGAAATCATTTGGCCACACAGGGTTACATTTCTGTCAGAAAAGTCTTGCAGGTCTGAGCTCTTTTTTGCTTTGAGTAGTAATAGACATTGAGACTTTGTTTGACCAGAACAAAAATGTACTGAGCATAAGTCTTGCAGGTCTGAGCTCTTTTTTGCTTTGAGTACTAATAGACATTGAGACTTTCTGTCTGACCAGAACAAAAAAGGTACTGAGCACTTTACACTTTGAATTTGTAGATTAACAAATCTGAACACTGTCCTAGCAATCCTGGAAATTAAAATTCTCCAGTGTTTGCTTAAAGCTATTTCTGTACTAGTAAATGCAGAGATTGAGATGGGTCTGAGCTCTTTTTTGCTTTGAGTACTAATAGACATTGAGACTTTCTGTCTGACCAGAACAAAAAAGGTACTGAGCACTTTACACTTTGAATTTGTAGATTAACAAATCTGAACACTGTCCTAGCAATCCTGGAAATTAAAATTCTCCAGTGTTTGCTTAAAGCTATTTCTGTACTAGTAAATGCAGAGATTGAGATGTGGTGAATTTCTGCTTGTGTTGCTCAGGAATCTTGACTGCAACAGGAAAATGAATTACTGGTTTTACAGTGGAACCTGTGGTATAAATCATATTAGAAGTGTTCCACAACTTGCAGCATTACTGATGCAGAACTAAGAGGACAGATAATAGACCAAGGCACCTGCAGCCTTAACTTGTTCTCATCATAAATAAACAAAATCCCCCAAACCCAAAATGCCTTTTGTACCCTGTAAGTTTGAATATATTTGGGTTTTTGGAAATGATTTGAACCAAAAGCTGTGAAATGTATTAATTACTGCAGTATTGAAACAGGGTGCAAAGGTTAAGTTGCTTGAATTCTTTCAGTAATTAAATAACTTCACTTTAAGGGAGTTAAAATTCTTTATAACAATCTACATCCATGTGCATAGCATGAAATATCTCAGTGGACAGTACAATCCCCTCTGTTCTTGGTCAAGAGAGATATGTAAGAGAGTTTA